AGCTATCAGGCATTCAATGCCTTTTCATCCTAGAGGAGAGAAAAGTATTTTGGCAGATAAATACTTTTTAAGCAATTATGTTGGAATTCAAAGCACATTCTTCAGCATCGGCAATATTTTGAAGCGGTGAAAGGTTTGAGAAGATCTATTTACAAACAAAAAGATTAAAGCTCCTTCTGTCCAGGATGGGGTGGGGGTGGGAATCAATGAAAGGATCAAATGGGACACAGCCTACTGAACATAAGCTTGCTTCAAAACAGGCATGCCCTCACTGCATTTTATTAAGGACAAGCAAAGCTACCTGTTTTTTCCCAGATTTCAGAGATGAATCCTAAATCCAGATCTTGCACTCTGGAATCTAAAGATCCATCATCTTGACAAACCTCAACGTACCTTCCCAAAGGTCTGCTAGATTCTGCTGGAAAGCTTAAGATTTGCCATAGGAAAAAGGGAAAAAAAAAAAACCAACCCCACAACCAAACCAAGACACATGCTATGAAGTGAAGGAGATTTTCTACTTGGGCTTCTGACAAGGATATTTCCTATGTCTGCTGCAATCCCTAACATACTGAACTACTTCTTAGCTCTTAAGAGATCTGGGTCTGCTTTAAGTTCAGTTAAAGTTCATCTGGCAGCTTCATCAGCCTGCTCCTCTGGCAAGTGTTCTTGGTCTTTGTACCCGCAGCAGAAAAAAAAAAAAAAAAAGCTTGTTATGATGAGGCTTTTTTTTTTTAATTAAAAAAAAAATACCTAAACCCAAAAGGGATACGGAGAGGGTACTACGAAAATTCCATTAAATCTATATTCTGCAGAAACTTAATTTTTTTCCTAAGACTCAAAGTAAAATTTTGAGTATCTTGCTAGCTATTTGTCGGAAGACTGTGGTCTCAAATCAGTTAACGAAGAAATGTAACGGACCTTCTTGCATGCAGCATTTCTGCAGGAGTAGGTACAGTTCCTGCATCTTCAATCCCTATTCAAATTAATTCTGAACTGGGGAGAGGGGCGCAGCATTTGTCATCTTCTCTGTCTTCCCACCAGGAATATGCAAGCTCTGTAATCTAAAAGGTTAAGTATGTCCTTACACAATCACTCGCTTCCTAGACTTTCAGCATATATAGTTGTAACCAGTTTTCAGATACTGTCACAAGAAGTGTGGCACTTGAATTTTTCTCTACTTGACCGGGAAGTTCTCTCTCTTGCAGAGAGAAGGAGGGAGGACTGCTGGAGCAATAAGAAAACAGAGCACATTTACAAGTATGTGTGACATATCTGACAAATCAGTCTTGACACTGCCCAGAAGAAGGGCTACAAATTGTTAACACTTGTTAAGCATCATTGCCCATCAACCGCCTGCACTCATCTAGCTGTTGGCTTTCACTCTGCAACTCCTTCGAGCAGGTTCCAGTCTCTAAGTACTACAGAATATGAATTGCTCAAGACAAATTACTACTATGTATTGTAAGCAAGTACGAGAAGAGAAACTAGGCTATGGAACGCAACTACAACTAACTTGGGAAATAAGAAGGGAGGAAGAATGGGGAAAAACAGCTATCTGTAGCAACACCGTACAGTAAAGGCCTAAAAATGTTATTTTAATATACGTATTAAAAAGAAAGATGATTATTACAGGGATGGCTGGCTTGCAGTTGGGGTTGGACAACCTTTATATGCCATATGTATCAATTAACTAGTTATTTTTAAACTTATCTGAAGCCTTAAAGAGCTACTCCAGGACAGACACACTAACTTACCTTCAGATTTTCTGCCCCATTGCCTTAGTGGCATATCATGTACTCAAAACAACAGCTTTTTCCACAGCTGGCTGGGACAAGTATATTACAAGCATACAGGAAGTTATCTAACTTTTTATAGCATTAAAAAAAAAAAAGAAAAAAAGAGATATACTGAAAACTTGCAGTAGAGTTGTTTCAGTAAATATACTGAAGTGAGGAACCAAATTAACCATGTATGTAACACTTTGGCCTAAGATAAAGTACTAAAAAAAGTATTTCTCCTAGCAGAGATGATGTAAAGGAGTCTGAATTTAATTGAATGAATCTAAGCAACAGTTTTTAATCACACCATTTTGCACAGCACCTCCTTTTTTGCTGCTTTGATCACTAATATATTGTTAGAACAGGCAGTTCGTCCCCTCCCTTAGAACCACCACATTGGTCACAGTAGTGGCCAGAGAATATATACTTTATTTCATTTATGGGTTTATCCATTACAAATTGTACTACACTGAACTTTCCTACAAAAACTACCACACCACTCAGAGACTTACAAGTCTTAAGTTACCAACAGATAAAAGAGTGAAAACATACCACAGATCAGGTTAAAATAAGTTTGCATAAAGAATTTTCAATCTCTCCTCTTCATAAATATAATAATGTTGCAACTTCAAATTTATTTAGCCTACAATAACTTGCTCTGGGAATTTGTCACAGGGACACGAACTGAAACATTATTGTTTTTCACTGTGCAATACAGGATTACCTCTTATCCTTGTATTTTGTTGCTATGGACGCAACATGAAGGTATTTAAAATACCTTAAGGATATAAACAGGCACCGAGAGGAATCATCAAATCCAAGCAGCCATTTAAAGGAGGAAACGGGACACATATCCAAATGAACAACCTGAAATATTCCACTTAACACCTAATTATCTGCTAGAACAAAATACACATGCTACTCTAGCCTTGTGACCCAATTTCCTATATGAAATATGAGGAGGAGAATCATGAAGCAGAAATGTAGTTAGTAAACACAGTAACAATTTCATGGCTTGCTTCTGTTTCAACAGTCCTATTCAAGGCCACTTTGCCTCACTTTTGAAAGTACCACTAATAATCTACAGTTGAATGTAACTGTTAACTTCTGAGGTATACCCTGTAGAAGGAGCTGGTGCTCTAGGCACTAGCTTAATTTTCACTTAGAACAAAGTTCAACAGATCACTCAGCAAGGAATTAGCAACACTTGCTTGTCTATTTTTTTGTTGTTGTTGTACTAACATAAATGGAATACCTCAGCCATGCTCATCACAGACATTTCTCAATGAGATCAATACTACATACACTATCAAACAAACCATCTATCCTGGGTCAATACATCAAATTTTAGTTACAACTCAAACCCATTTGTTGAACAGATACGAAGAGTAACGGTCACAAAACACTTTTTATTGAGATACTGTTAAAAACTTTCTGGTCAATGCCCCCCTTAATTTTCAATGCTGATAGAAAGAGATTTTACAACATCCTCTGGCTAGGAAAAGGAGTCTGAAGCAGTTAATCAAGTTACTGGGTTCCACCCCCTCCTTTCTTTTTTGCTGAGTAACATTCACTGCTGCTTCTTCAGGTCCCAGCAGCAGAACTGCATGCATGCATATGATAACCCATCAAGGAGGGGTCAGCAGCCACAAGACTAAGGGGGAAACCTCAGGCCACGCATGTAACCAGCAAAGGGTACATCCTGCTCACTCTCCTCTAGATACTGGGAGGCACCACTGAAAGGTGGTATTCTCACACCGCCAATTCCTGATGCCTTGAGTAAGCTGAAGGTGGGAAGTCCACTTGCCCAGGACAGACTTTCGAGCCTAAAGTTGTCAAGGACCCTAGGAGGGACAATGTCAGGCTGGACAAAGCCAGCATTTCAGTTCCCATCGCTTTTCCTTTTCTCTTAGTGGTCTATAGAGGGGTTCACAACTGTGGGGCAGGACATTCTTGCCCTCCATGCCTTCTCCCAGTCCTCCCTGTCCAACCCTGTGACACAGCTTGAGAGTCACTCCTGTGTCCTATCAGTTCCTCCTCTTTATGGTCACCGAGCAAGCCCTCTTTTTGCCACCCACAGGGTTTAGTTCTCGTCCTCCCACACTGAAGGGCTGTGCTAGCATCATTGATCCTTCCCTGGAAGGAGGATTCCAGCAACGGGTGAAGGAATGAACGTGGCTTAAGCATAATACCGTCACATGCCTGAAAGGCTTCATTTTGAGCCAAATATAGCAGCAAAAGGAAAAACTGTATCCTGGACTTCACTGCTCTTTCCCAGCTTCATAAAGGTGTTTGAGGGTAAGTTACTGTATGACAGTAGTTTCACTTGCTTTTGCAAAATGATAGAAAAGCAGCAACAGGAACCCAGTAAAAACCTCATCCAAGTAATGGGAGTGAAAAGAAATAAAAGTAGCAAGAGAAACCAAATGTTCCCTGCTCTCTCCAACCACAGACGGTAAAGACTGGGGTCCAATGCCTTGTATCAAGCTCCACATGCATACACAGGGAAACGCAGATTGTGAAGAGGATTACTGAAAATGCCTTAACATCCAGTGAAATGAGTTTGGTAGAAATTGGTAGCAATAACTGCCATTAAGAAGGAAGAATACTACAGTCAGATTTTTTCTTCACTGCATGAAAAGAAAAGAAAAAACTCATTCATTGAGGAAATGTGAACACTACTCAGATCAGTACTTAGTTCTTGGCAGATACTACCCTGACTGGCCAGCAACCACAGCACAGAAATGCAAATTAAAAAATAATTTTAAATAAGTCACAGCCAAAATTTGTTTCCTGGAATCAGATAAATTATTTCAAGTGTCATCAAAATAAAAAAGGAGTATTTCTTCATTTCACTATGTTTGCAGATCAAATAAAAAGACAGAAAAACAGCAAACATATTTTGAATGGAGGTATTACAAGAACTTTTCCTTCCTGCCGCTCAAATATCCTAGTTAATTTTAAAGAATTTCAACATATCTTTCCTTTATCAATCTACAGGGAACAGTTGAGGGAAAATACAATTGGACTAGACTTGGAGCTGAGATTTTTTTCAAGCAGCATAAGAGAAGGCCCCCCCCAATTCTTAACTGCAATTCAAGAAACAATTAAGCTTATTTATTAAAAAAATACATCAGTAAGGGGACATCATACCACCACAAGACTTCCCACATAAAAAAAATACAGTGCAGGCTATATATTTAACAAAATCCACAGCCTTACCAGTCAATAACAATTCTTCTTTGATTTGTATTCCATGGAGCAATTTGATCAAATGGACAGACGTAGAGATGAGACCCAAGTTCCTATTATTAAATTGGAGAAAAAAAAAAAAATAACCATACTTGATTTGAAATACACTCAAATAAAGTGAAAAGGCTTTTCACTGAAGTTAACAGCAAGTCTTTAACATCTTCAGAAACTCTGAAATAAAAAGCAGTTTCTCCTGCTTAACTGTTCCTGACTATGAGTAGCCACACTACTACCATCAGAAGCAAAATGAACAGGTTTACTGCATCAGCCTGCATATTAACAATTCTGGACATAGCACCTTCAGAGCTAAGTACCCCTTCCTCTCTTTTTGCTACTCTTCTAAATCAGATGTTCAAAATTAGCAGGTTATTCCTGTAATTTAAACAGCTTTATTTGTGTAAAAACTTTGTTTGAAGTTCAAGTGTTCAGGGAAAGCGTCAATGTACATTACTTAGTAATAAACTTTGAGGATTTTAAATACCAACAGAGTGATTAGCAGCCATCAGAGGAACAGGGCCAGTTCAAAGGGAAACATACAAAACTCTCAGAGGAAAACAGGGAAGGTCAAATAATCCATTATCCTTTCTCCAGTGAGAAGGAATCAGAGGTAGAATCTCAGAATGGCTTGGAAGAGACCTTTAAAGATCATCTAGTCCAAACCCTGCGCCATGGGCAGGGACACCTTCCACTACACCACGTAGCTGAAAGCTCCATCCAACCTGACCTTGAACATTTCCAGACATGAAAAAACATGGTCATAGCGAAGATAAATGAGTCAAGTGAAGCCATTTGGAATCAAAAACACCAAAATAATTCTACAGCCAGAGATCAGCAATCCTGGAGGCAAACAACATACATGCCAGGACGTGCATGCAACAGGAGTAAAAAATGAAAGTCAAAGAATACAGTACAAGCAGATGAAGTTTTCAGCTTTTAACTCATTTGTACTTTAGTAGTCACACTTTTTGAGATCAGCCAAGATAGAGTGGCATCAGCCAAGACAGAATGGCTGAAACTGCAGAACATGGCAATACCATCTCTACCGAACCTTCACACCCATCCATCAGTTACTTAAAAAATATATCATCACATATGAATACTGAATAATTGTCTTCTGCAGATGTTTTCTGACAAACACATACTCCTTCTCATTAAGTTCTAACACAGAAGAGAAGCCAAAGATACATTTATAAATATATAATACACACATGCACACTGGTATACATACAATCTATTAAAGCACTTCCCATTCCTTCAGACCCCAAATTTCTTCACAGCACACAAAGAAGAAGAACTGACCCTGGAAGGAACAACGCTTCATATTCCGCAATAGTTTAAAAGCTGTTATGCAATCCATGTGTTCACAATCTTTCCATTCTTTCCTAGAAACAATCAGCTTCAATTTTGATCAAACAATTTGTAGTTTGGGGTGGGGTTTTTGGGGGAATATCTGAATGTCGCACACTTCAACATCAAAGGCACATAATTTTCCTTCCATTCACAACTTTTGATCATTCAGGACATTTAATTCCTAAACAAGTCGTGCATTTGCAACCGTTTAAAATCAACACAAACATATGGCTAATACACAGCTGGCTCAAAGCACCCAGTGCGATATTAAAAGGACCATAAATTGTTATGCTGCTAGAAAGCCAAAACAGTATCCAACGAGTGACCCACTGAGTCCTTCACTGTTAGAAGCATGGTCAGAGCTTTCTACAGGCCTTCCCCCTCCTGCAGTCTAAGGGACAGCACAATTATTAGCATTCAGCTTCCACGTGAGCAAGGCTACGCTAACTGCCTAGGAAGGGCAAGTACACAGCACAAGTATGACCAGTGCAGAGCACGTTTTTGTTCAGAAGCAGGTTGGATATCTGAATTCCATTAAAAAGTAAAAAATTAGTTTTTACTTTCTAATGGAATTCAGGTATCCATAACTAGGTTGTATTTGTCACGCTACTGAAAAAGGCAATCCTACCAACTCCCAGCCATGCAATTCTGTTCACCCTGTTTTAACAAGTAACTATGGAGCTACAGTAAGTTACAATAAGGAACCCAGTCTGGTTGAACATCCACCTAGCAAAAATTTATAAACAAGCATATAAATCTTCTGTCAGATTGGTTCCTTGACCCACAACCTGATCACAAGTGCTAGCACTGCCAGGAACAAAAAGGTAAGAGCCTGAACTTACATTTACCTTATTCTAAAACTAATGCCTTCTACAAAAAGTCCTGCAACTTTTGTGGCATTAACAAAATTCTGCCCCAGCACAGAAGTTGCAACTTTGTGTCATGTCAAAATTATATTTAGTTCAATAAACCAAATCCGACAATTCCCAAGAAACCAAATTTTAAGACTGTACTCCACAACAATTCTTTGTTATCTAACAAACTTGCAATGGGTTTGGGGTTTGGTTTTTTTTTTTTTTGGTTGCTTGGTTGGTCGGTCTTAAGTTCTTGGAGGGGGAGTGTTTGTTGTTGGTTTTGGGGTGTTTTTTTGTTTTGTTTTGGTTTGGTTTGTTTTTAAAAAAAACAACAAAGACAGCAGGTAGAGTACCAGATTTTCAGGAACTACAGCTGGTTGTATCCCAAGCATCCCCTCAATGTTGCAACAGATGCAGACAAAAAAACCCCCGAGAGGCTAAATAGCTTAAGGAGCCAGGGTGACTACTTATTATCCATTAATACCAGTTTACTACACGTATCAGGGTTGATATGCACAATTCTACACGCTATACTTTGCCATGAGTACCAGACAGCTCTAAACGTACCTTATCCTGTAACTGATAATTAAAACTATTTACTTATTATGTTATCCAAAAAATTAAAGAAACAAGAGAAAAAACTCATACTAAGGACACAAACACTTTGTTCTATTATTCAGCAGTGCCCCAAACTCTGACCTACAAATAGGTCAGCTATTTTTGGTTCTTGCATACTTCATTTCAAGTGACTGCATCAAGCAGGAAATACCAGTTAATACATCAACTAACACAGCAGTGTAAAATAAGAATCTCTATATAAAACCACACAAACATCAGAAGGTTATATTTTTGTATGTGTTAAAATGGATCATAACTATACCTCATGACATGTTGATTCTTGGCACACTCAACACAGGCATTCCTCAGACATCTGAAACACTCTGCTATGAGCAGCAGGCAGGTGTCTCGATCTACCAGTTCACAGCAGCCCTTATCGGCCTGCTCAATTTCACTTGAGGCGCTCATCAGGATTTCCAGGAGATCCCGAAATATACTTTCTTTTGCCATTTCTCTGAAATAAATAAATAAATTCGTAGTGAACAAAAAATACACTGCTATCAAAAAGCCTATATTATGACAGTTACACTTCTTACCGTAAACCCAAAGATGTTTCTGCAACAGTTTTTAACTATCTATAGTACAGAAGGTCCTTCAAGTAGAAAGAGCAAAATATATGCACACAATCATCCCACCAGCCTTTTCAGAAAAGGGCCTGTGAGAGAGTTGTATATTACTTGTATTCCTCACAGCTCTCCAATGGCTCTTTGGAATCTTAATTAAAAAAAAAAAAAGAAAGTCTCTATAACGCATATAGCTAGCATGTTTATCCATGACACTGCATGTTGTTTTAAGAATTAGGAATTGCTTTAATTAATGAACACAGTTTAGATGTACAGCACTAGAAGTTTCAGAAGGTGGTATCAGAAGCTCTATTATAAAACAGCCTGCCACAAATTTCACCAAAGGGAGAAAGAGAAGCTGTGAAGAAAGCCGGTGGCTGCACTAGCATCATTCTGAAGTGTGTGAATCAAAGCCAAGGGAGAAAGTCAACTCTGTCTACTTCAGCAGTCAACTACCCCAACACAAAAAATACCATGCCACTTCTTAGAGTATCAAGACCTAGGAAAACAACACTACAAAACCATAAGCATACAGACAGATATTAGATGAATGGATGAGAGAGCTGATGCTGCTGCATCACATAGATTCACCAGACTCCACAGGACTGACATGCACATCTGCAGATATGTCATGCAGATATGCACAACATTTCCAAACCACAGCTATTCACATACTCTCTCCCCTGATTCTACGTTCAGAAAGGATCTGAGGGCAACACATTACAAACACTGCTAACTTGGTTTTGATACTACGTGCTGGTGAAAAGAAGCCACGCCAAAGAGCGTTTATGGCATCGCTACAGGAAAGTTCAATAAATTTGCTCATCCCATACTTCTGACCAGAGTCAAAAAAGGAACATCCAGACGCAGCCTCCTTGAATCTTAAACAGACTTGTCGTGTACTCAAGATCAAACAGGAAGGTTAGGATCTGAAACATAAGGTTGAAAAATACCTCCTAAGCTATGAACAGAAGTGAGATGAAATGGAAAGTAATATTAAACAAAATATATTCACACAGAACACTCTTCCTAAGGGAGAGTTTAAAAATTTCTTGATCAAACATTAGTGGATGATAGAGTATTACCCGTGTTCTGCTGCTCGTCCAAATGCCTAAACATTTACACCATTAGAAATTCTACCCACTCTTTATCACAAGTGATCACATGTCCATAAACCAAACCATTGAATCATAGAATCATTTAAGTTGGAACAGACCTTTAAGATCGTTGAGTCCAACCGTTGAACTAACACTGCCAGCTCCACCACTAGACCATTTCCCTAAGTGCCACGTCTACATGTCCTATCTGTAACACCTTTAGACATGTCTGAAGACTATTGTATTTCCCACCCCTGCTCCTGCCATGTTCTTTTTCCTGGACTAAATAAAACCAATTCTCTCAGCCTTTACTCACAGTTCACATTTTGTACGCCTCTTACCATTCTTGTTGCTCCAATAGTGACACTTTCATGTTCATCTACATCTTACTGACAGTACAGTGCATGCAATATCGAGGTCTGTTAAGGTGTGGAGTAGACTTACAAAGGGAGAGCACTTGCATTGCAAGAAATACAACAATGTACACAAATGTCATCACTAACTCAAAACAACATTAGATTTCAGATCTCCAGGAAATATGTATTTCATTCTACAACCTCACTGTTGATCAAGACCAACACACTTACACAATCTCCATCTACGTTAAAAAACCCACCACAGTTTACACTTTTTACAGTGGTGTAATACTGAGGGGAAAACACCGAAGTGGGGCAGAGCTGGCCCTCAGCCATAAAGAATACAGTAGAGCTTCTATAAACAGAAAGAAGGTTTGGAATTTGGGTTTTTTTTTAAAGACATAAGAAAAAAACATTCATGGGACTTGAACCTTTAACTTGCAAGAAGTGATGCAGCTCCTGCCGTTCCATGACAGGCATGTATGCCAAAAGATTCAGTGGCTGACGTACCACAGTACCCATGGTAAGTGCATCCAGACACAAGTTTTTCTAAACATCAGAAGAGCTATGGTCTGGTAAAGGAGCACCCAGCCAGACCCCATCCCAAACACACAAAAGCCATGTCTTCTCTGTTGAGTGAAGATGCCATACAGAACCATTAGCTGTTAGTCAGATGAGTTTTTAAACACTGAAATTATTCTAAAATAGGAAAACTCTCAGTCCAGCTCCAGTTCACTTTATATTTGCCTATGCCCTGTGTTGGATTATCACATGAAACTGGTCATTTCCTGACCCAGCTTCAAAATACAGAAGTCAGTGGTCAGTGCAAAACATATACTATTGTACAACGTTCAATCATTTGAAATTGGTAAAACAGAAGTGAAAAAAACTGCAAGTACTTTTGTGCATGTTTCTGTGACTCTACCAGTAAAAGGACACCTTAAAGTTATTCTTATCCTGGAAAAGTTTCCACTCTCATTACCTAGTTATGCAGCAGAACAGTTTTAGTCAGTTACTGGATTACAAGCATACTGGGCCATTGTGACAACTTTTCTCTTAATATTAGATTGAAAATAAAAAAAAACCCACAACTAAGAGTGTAGATATTTCCAGTAAAATATGAAGATTAAACTCTTGTGTGTTGTAACAGAGCAAGTGTGAGGTACACAAGGAAGTGCCTGTCCTCACTGTGAACATGGAAGTAGATGTGGATTTTTACATATCAGTGAAGAGAGAGAGAACTCCAAACCTCTCTCTCTGCACACTATGAAAGAAAATGAACGTTCCTAAGCCAGATCTTTTGGGGCAGAAATCAAATCTCTTCCTACAACAGAAAAGAAAAGCCTAAGTGAACAAGCAAAAGTTATTCTAAATGAACAAGGAATGACTTAAAGGTTTGGTAAAGCAGGATTCTATTCAGAGAAAATTTAAGTGCAACTCTTGTACTTAAGCATTTATACATCATTGCAATTTGAGTGTGTACTACAAAGGAATTTTAATTAAAATCATCTTTCTGCACAAAACCCAAAATTCTCAAATTAGCGAGGAGGGCATGAAGTGTTTAGCTGACATTAAGAAATCTGTCAAGGGTGATTTCAGGTAACTGGTCCCCAGCAATGCTTGCAACCATTGTTTTAAAAAAAAAAATAATCTTTTTCCAGCAGTATGACAAAGATTCACATACAGATAAAAATAGCAGCTACAAGTATTTAAAATGTATTTCTGAAAAGGAAAATATTTTCCTTCCATAACCTTTTCCCTAATATTTAAATATTGATCTATAAAACTAGCAAAGAGCCTGCTAAGTAGCTTTTAGATTAAAAAAATACCTTCTATTGTAAACAGGCCTTGAAATTCATTCAGAACTGCTCTGTGGATATTCCATAAACGTGTTTCCTATGTTTTGTTGCCTAAGACAGGATCTTCACAATTTGCTACTGACACCTGTCCTTGATTTCAGCATGAAGTATTCTGCAGGAATACAAAAGAAAGCAGAAGCAAAGGATATAGCAGCCCAGCTCTCAGACAAGGAAGACATGCACAGTTTTGTATTAAGTCAAAACAGAGAGTCAGAATTCATGTATTCATGCCAAAAGGAAGATTACTGTCACTCCTTGTAAGACCCAAGTGCTTGACTGTTAAAAATAGAAACTGTACACAATAACATCCTAGTGAACACTGAGTTAAAAACATTAATGCAACCATGTTCAAAAGACACGGCTCCAAAAATCATTAAATTAGGCAGGAATTATGCAAATATCCCAGAAGTTTGCAATTCTGCATTACTACTCTATGTTTTAGGTACTTACACAATTCGACTCTTGTAAGCAGAGTCCCTAAAAAGCCTCTAGAGTATTTAACTTCACAATATTCCTGGTAATAAAATAATGCCATTTTCTTCCTTTTGTAACATTAGTAATGGAAGCATAACATCTGCTCAAAAGCACTGGAAGTCCCAAATAAAGCACACAGCTGAATTCAAGTCTCCCAAATTCCACACCATGGTCTCGTAGTTGGGGCATTATTTCCTCACCTTATTTGCTTCTGAATCACAGACCACTAGAACTCACATTTGTAAATTATTTTGTTTCCACAAGCACTGAACAATCACATAACAACAAAAGAATTGTCACTAAATATCACAATTTCATATACCAAACATCCATTGGGTTGTGTCTTCTCGTTCAACAGCACCAACAACAGTATTTTCCACAGTTGGCAAATTTATTGCCAAAGCTGCTCTCAGATCCATTCTGTCACATCCTATAGGATGTAAGCTAACACTACAGCTTTGTCCTTCTGGAAGGGCAATTACAGTGCCTCTCTTCCTGCCCACCTGCACCCGCAAAACCTGGCTATTTCGGCGAATATCTACTCCTCTGTAAAACACAATGGCAGAGGTTTCAGGGAGAAAGGCTAGAAACAGGCAGAGAAAGCATCAGCACGTAAGCCCAAAATTTGCACAGGTCCTCCTCTCTTTCTTGAGAAATTGAAATTGAGATGAACACCAGAAGAAGGTCTCCTGTACACGCAAAGATCCCATGAACATGTTTGTAAGTACGTCTTACCACCACCACCACTTTTAAACAGGAATTTAATTAACAAAAATAGTATTGGGAATTAACAAAAAAACCCCAAAACAAAAAAACCCCCACAATTTTATGCTAAGCTTAGAAGTCTGATTTCTTAGTTCTTAGGTGCAATAACCTTCAAACAGCTACTGTTGAGAGGAGCGAGCACAAGCTTCACACCAACCTGTGCCTCCTCCCACCTTCCAGAAGAGCAAAAATGACTCCAAACCCTCTCATGCAGCTGAACCTCTCCATGCAGGCCCAACCTCTACTGAAGCCAATTGTTGTGCGGTATCACAGAGGTCCCCCTGACTTTACAGGCACAGCAATGCTCCATACCAGCCCCTTGCTTTCTCTGGTAACCCCATGCTTTCTTTCCCTATATTAAAAATGCTAAGGGGCACCCAACCTGTCCCCCCACCGCAGCCCATCCAGTGCCCGCCGAGGCCTACAACCTCCACCCTCGTCCCCAGGCCTTGGTCTCAGGCCGGCACGAAACCGTGGCCCAGCAAGGCCTCACGCGGCAGGCCTTACCCCACTTCCAGCCACCCTGCGGGGCTCACCGTGGCTTTTTGCCCCACAGCGGCTACTCCAACCCACCTGGGCGCACCCGCCTAGGAGGGCAACCCGTGACTGGGGGACGCGACCCCTTCCTCCCTGCCCTGGGCCTGCCACAGGCGCAGGGGCACGGGTGGACTGCCAGGCCCCCACGGGACCCCGAGGGAAAAGAGGGGAGAAGGGACGAGTCACCCCCCCACCGGTCCCCACAGGTGACCCCCGAGTCCCACACGAACAGCCCCGGGGCAAGCAAGAGACTTCACGGCAGGGAACCGGCGGCACCCCGCCGCTCCTCCGCGGGCCCCTTTCGTAGCGGAGCCCGCAGCCGACACCCCGAGGGCCACGACGGCGTTCGGAGCAGAGCGGAGCAGAGCCGAGCCGAGCGAGCCCTGCCCGCCGGCAACACACGGCCCACCCCAGCCCGCCGCTCCCCGCTGACCGGAGCTCCCTCCCCCGGCCCACGTGGCCGCGGGCGGCCCCTCCTCCCCGCTAACCTGGGCTGCTCCTCCCGGAACAGACCCGCCAGCGCCCGCACGCTTTCCAAGCGGGCCTCGGGCGGGGCCGCCGCGGCCCGCCCCAGCCGCGCCG